TTTTGCACCCTGCTGCTAATTCCTTTTTGATGTTCTGAGTCAGTTTTCCAGTAGAGAGCTTTGCAGATCAAAAACAGGCATGAAATTGTTCAGATAACACATTTTAATGACTTACTTGCAAATTATCTCTCATTCTTCTGTACAGATTTTAAAAACTGCACATACTCTGAATGATACCATCTTTGGTGAAATAATGCTTTTGAGATCCTTTTGTCCCGACTGTAAAACTTCTATCTATTCCCTAATGAGTTATGGTAATGTTAATGGCTTATAAGCAAAAAGTCTTTGAGAGGTGACCTTTTTTGTGTCCTGTATTTCTTGTCTTCAGGAAACATGAACAGTTTCACTAACTGATTGGTTTTAGTCATGATGTATAACTGGTTTTAATTTATTTCTGTTCCTACCTGCTCTGCCAGTAATCTTTCTGTGATAAACATGGTGTGGAGCTCTAGTCGTTCTAAGATGGCTCTGGATAAATAAGATTTGTGTTCTTTAGCACAGGCATGATATGGCTTTGGTTATTTGATGTTGTTTATTTGCCTCCGAAGTGTTACTGGCAACAAATTTCGAAGATATTACTTTGGAAAACAAGAATATGAGAAAATTTATCTTACGTGTTCTTTTGTAAAAGTCAAATGATATGTTTTGTCTGGAGATGTGGTGGAGCTTTAGGATTGGATTGGGACATGTCTTGCTGCAAAAGTAAAGAAAGCCTTGCTTAAAAAGGCTCTGATCTCCGAAGTGGCATGTGAGTGTACAGTGCAGTGAGAAACTTGTATGAGTTCATTAAACAGTGAACGTAAAAGCCTGTCTTTGTAAGTAGGGCTTTGGGAGGAGGGGGAGGTGTTCTACAAGTAGATACCCTCATAGCTGTCCTGTGAGAGCTGCAGATGTTGTCTCTGTCTTAGATGTCTGGAAACTGAGGCACAGACACGTGCTTGGCCAGGAACCATAAAGCAAATAACATTGAAAGCCAGGACCAGAGTGCCAGCTTCTGCATCTCCGTCAAGTGCTCCAGGCACTGGACCAAACAGTTTCCTAGCTCTTGAGGAAAAAGTATGAAATCTTTCATACATTCATTCAGATGAATTGGCCAGATTTTTGTATGCTGAAGATGTTATTTAGTGTTCTTTACTCAGCTCTGTTAGGACTTCTGCTTTTATGGCAGTGATGTCTTTTGCTACAATTTTACAAGGGTGGCATTTTTCTCTCATTGATTCCTTAAATGACCTGCTTTCAATTTCAGTTCTGGTCTAAAGGATTTCAGTACTTGTGTCTTGTCAATATTAAAGTTTTATTTCTGTCCTTGCATTGCTTATGGACAGTCGTAAATGGCAATAGTTACAGATACCTTATCTTTCTGACGATAAGGCAGCCAACAGTGGTGCTCTCAGTTTAGTGTTAAATTCAACCATGCTCTTAATAGTCTCTTGTTGTAAACATCAAGCTGCCAAATAAATAGATATAAGTGATAGCATGGGAAAACAAAGGAGGCATATTCACTGCTTTTCACTGATGGAAACATATTTTGCTTTTATCCTTGATTCTCCAAAACCAAATCAATCTAATAATTCTGGCTAACAAAGCTAATTCTGATTCCTTTGTGTCGTCCGTAAAATCACAGTATTCAGAATTTAAGACCAAAGCCTGTGCTGCCAAGGGGTTGTTAACAGGAGGGGGGGGCGGGGGGAAGTAAACAGTTGTTCTGCAGGAGGGAAGAGAGAGCATAGTCACTACAGTGGGAATTGCCTTTAAATACTGATTTATACTGTAACTGACACAAAGGACCTCCCCCCCAGCATCCTTCTGTATTTTTGCAGCCTGGATGCGCCTTACACTTCATGAATGCAGGGACAGATCCTTTCCAGGCACTAGAAAATCCCCAAGAGGAGGGAGCAGGTCTGGCCGGGGGCCATGACCATGCAGTCCTTTTTAGTGTTATTTAGTGGAGCCTTCAAAGAATATAGCAACAACTGCTGCAATGTACTGTCTTATGGGCCTTTCCTTTTCTCCTCCATGCCACATCTCTTCCCCACTCTTACACCTCCAAACCCCACTGCCTTTAAAGCACTCACCGCTTAATCATTCCCCCTCAGTCTTACTGTCTGTAAAATGGGGATAGTGATCCTTACTATTTTGTACAAGACGTACAAATAAGTGTGGGCAAGTGCAAGGAACTAATGTGATAATTGGTGTTTCTTAGAAAACACTTTGAAACCACTGTTAAAATATTTGCTTTAGGAACGTATTTAGGCACCTTTTTTTTAAGGAGTAAGTTGATGGCTCTGCTGGAAGGGCAAATGCTGATGTGCAGGTAGAAACATTTTCCTGTTCTTCAGCAAAAATATTCTTTTAGCTGTAAAATCTGAAATCGGTGTGAAATCTGCCACACTTGTTGGCATTTATCCAGGTGCCAAATGTCACTCTATTGCAAGCTTTTTCTGAAGACTGAGAAAAATCTTCTGATGTGGTTCTGTAGAAGTAGGAAAGAAGATTAAAAGGATAGGGTGGTACCCAAAATGTTTGAGCTCGTTTTTTAAACAGACATTTTGAACAGTTCTGTGGTTGGTTAAAAGGGAGTTTTCTTCTCCCCCACCCCCGTTTATAAAGTCCTAATTCCTTATCCCCTTCTCCAATTTTGAAATTTAGAGAGTAAAAACAAATAGGTACATTTGTAAAGTAAATGTAAATTCAAGATGTTGAATTGTGTACGCTTTTTAATGGTTAATGAATATATAGGAAAATTTCTCGAGCTTTCTGTTACGAATTGTTAGTATTTCACAAATACTGCATTTTAATATTGCAGGCTTTTCTTTTGAAGTGGAAAGAAGTTGAAGATTAGAATTACTTCCCAGCATTTTATGAAAATGGTAACAGAATGGCTCAGGGACTAGGTGGAACAATTAAAAACTTTTCTTTTTTAGGATTTCGGTTTTGTCACCAGCAGGCTGGATCTAAAAACAAGAGCCAGCGTGTCATCTCTTCGAAGCTGTTTTGTGTTCTTTAGGGCTGTGAATACACATCAGAAAACCCTCTGGTATAATGAAGCTTGGTGTTTGGCATCAGCAAAGCTGTTGTCTTCGCTGAGCCACAGTGTCTCCCGTAGTCCTATTTCCATCACTTGCAATCATGGACGTTTTAGCCGAAGAGGGTCTGTTAGATCATCCAATCTGTGGTAATACAGGATTTTTCCTTCAGGAGACATAAGCCAGGAAAATTTTAGGCTAGTGCTGCTCATTCGGCGAGTTCAGTGGATGAAGGGCCTTATTCTCTTTGTCAGCTGCCTGCCTTCTTAAGTATTAAATTCAGTCTCTTGACACGTACACATGCGTGCATGTACAGACCACAGCAATGCATCGCTTGTCAAAGGCTTCTCCTGAGAAGTCTAAACACCTTGGTCTTTGAACATGTGCTGGTGCACATAGGTGAATGATGAAGTGTTGAAATGCCTAATAATGTTGTAAGCTGTTAGCTGGTGTTAGATTTCAAGGGCAGCCAGTGTCAGAGGCCATTTGAAAAGAGATGGTATCTCTGAAGTATCTCCAGACACATAGACATTGACCTGTTGGTTGTAAACGCCTGCATGGGAGAGCTCGGGGCTGTGAATTACAGCATCTGTGTTCTCTTGAAAGCCACCCACAGGTTCAATAAAACAGGGCAAAACTCTTCAGAATCAGTTTAAGTGTGCATTAAAGATGCCTTTTAAATAATAATAAATTCCAAGCTTTAATTCTTCAAAATTGTAGTTCACTACTGTATCACAGACTGGAAGATCGTGCATGTTAACTATCAGTTCTCGCTTTAATGCATGAATGTGTGCGATAGAGGTGCTGCATAAGCAGACAGCTGCTAGGAGAGGCTGTATGTCAAGTAATAATCATTCAAGAGGGTTTTTTTCCCCAAAAGTGTATGTTCAAATTGTTTACTCATTGTATCTATTATTATTACACTGTAATTGTATGCTTTTATTATAAAAGTGCATTTGTTACTGTTTCATGTGCCCTTTTAAACATCTGTTTTATCTGTAGGAGTGTTGCATTATTGTGCTTTTCTGTTCTAAAACACAAAGATCGGCTCACATCGTTAGCCATGCTGCTATTATGTGGTCAATGTTAATGTTTTGAGCTTCTGAAATTAATGAAATATGCATTAGTGGCATATGGTTTTTACTTTGTTTTTAGAATGATATGTATTTAAGTAGGGTGTAAAACTAATAATTTTTGCCTGCAGAGCTATTGCCTAAATGTTGTGGTTTGAATTTAATGAACATACTTGTTTGATCACATCTTCCAAAAAAAAAAAAAAAAAAAAAAAAATTTTAAATGTCAATGAAACTTTTTCCCTTATACCCCTTTTTTCCTATTTTAATGATCAAAGTGTTTAAATGGATGTTTGTGAGATCTCGTGATTTCTTGATGAGAAAGTAGAGCTAATAGCTGTTTGGTGAAAATGAATCCAGAAAAGCAGTGAGGCTGGGTGACCATAATGATGGTTCTGAATGTATCAGGAATTTTGCCACTGGCTTCAGTGGTGCTAAACTGTCCCTCTGAATATTAGTGTTTTGCATTTAAGTACCAAAGTTTTACTGACTTCTCCCCCTTGCAGGCAGAGGAGAATGGAATTGGACTATTAAAAATACAGATGCAACACAGTTCATATCTAAAATCAAAACAAAAGAAGCTAATATTGATTGAAGTGCTTTTGTGCTGAATGCACAGGACTGCAAATCTGAACGCATAGAATCACTTTCTGTCTGCCTTAGAGTGTGGACAGGTAATCAGAAGTGTTTGAATTGTTGTAATTAATGAATTCTCACTTGTCTTTAAAATATCCAAATTATCATGGCAATTAAACCTCACTGCAAACCTAGTCAGAATTATTCTTGGCAGTGGCGTTTCATCCCTAAGTTATCAGGAATGTATTTGCATCTCACCAGTCATTTGAGGGGATTCTCAAATTATATAGTAATGCGGATTGTTTTACGCTTTGCTTTTGAACAGGGCAGAAAAGCTCCAGTTGCTTAACCACAGGCCCGTGACGGCAGTTGAAATACAGCTGGTAAGTAACAATGCTCCTGACTGTTCAAAGCTTAAATGAAAACAGCTTTAACCTTGAAGATCAATTGAATAATTACTTTCTCATGGACAGTGATTGAATGTATCCCTTTATGCACATCTTTACATTCATGGTTTCAAATCCAGTCTGCTTCCTCTCCGAGACCTCCTTGGAGACTTGCCCATCTTTCTCTCAGACAGATTCTCCACCTCTGTTTGCCTCAGTGTCACATACTGAAAATGCCTAATGCAGTCATTAAAGGTTAGTTACAGTATTGCAAGTAAGAATATATTTAACCTGAGTCTTTTTGCTGCTGCTCTGTAATCAAGTACTTCACTTTTTGACAGCTGTGATGGCATGGTTGTTTTGATGGTAGGGTTTTATGTTACAGTAAAACCAAACACGCTAAAAAGGAATGAGTAATGACTGATACGGAATTTAGAGCAGTGGTGCAGAATGAGAAATGGATATAAACAGACTTTCTGATGGAAAGTAGCCATTATCAATCTGTTAAGCATAATTCTGATGTAAAGACGGATTGTCACTAAATAGAATAGATGGTTATATTCTCTGGAGTATCTCCTTAGGATGCAAAATCCTGTGGTAATAAAGAGATTATTATAATAAGGATCTCTTACATTAAGAACATCTGTTTACAATCTTATCCTGAAACCAAACTATGTGGTAACAGGATCATATTTTGCTGCAACAAACGGGAGGATTAAAGAGGTACCAGTAAGACTATTTTTCTTTTGTAGCCAAGGAGTAGACATTATAAGATGCTGAAGGCGTCTCGTAAAAGAATGCTTCTAGCTGAGGAATTAATACTGTGTTTTGTGATTGAAGAGATCAGTGTCAGTCATCAACCCAACCCAGAGCGTTAAAGCTTCATGAGTTTTGCTAAGGAAGTTAGTCATAAGCGATGATGTAGAGCCTGTCTCATACCTTTGTTAGCTTCATGGGCTTAGACACAGATTTATTATATTCCCATATAGGCCATATACTGTCTTTTTTTCCTTTTTCTTCTTTAAACGCAATAATCTTTTGCTGCTTTCAGATGACTCTGGTTTTGTCCGTCTTTTCCTTCCTCCCCTCATTATCCTACCTAGTTCCTCATTATCTTATCTATCCGTAAAATACTGAAAATAGTTTTGCTCCTGTGTCATATTTGAAGCCCAGGAGGCGAGTATAAGAAATTTGGGCCTTTGTATTAGAAGTCAGATTTCTGCAGAGTGTCGTACTTCAGATATTCCAAGGTTTGTAAGGTCAAAGTTTAGATAAAACTCATTGCTAAAACTTATAGAATACAGATATGAGATTTGAGTTCAGTGTCAGCCCATTATTGATACGTAACCCTTCTCTAATGATCAAAAGCAACTTGTGAAAAATGTAATATTAATACATTTGGGGACTAGCCTGAATTTGTATCATCATGGAAGTATTGGGGATGCAGTTACTTCTGTTCCATTGTGATACCCCTGTAATTCCCAGGACAAGTTTCTCCAAAACTAGTATTACAGTAAACTAGGTTGACTGGATTGTTAACACTGTTAAATTAAGCCTCCCCAAAATTGCAGTGCACTTACTCTTTCATCAAAGCACGTCAAAGTCTTTTGAGCTCAATAACTATTAGGAAACTGCAGGCCATTTTTGTTAGTGAAATACAGAGACTGGGAGCAATAGCAAGGAAATGATTTTGCTATTCAATTGCTGTCTTGAATCATTTTGGTTTCTGGTGAGGACAGGGGAAAGATATTGTAGCAGTGCAATGTCTTTGAATACAGAAAACCCCTGTCTTCTCTGAGCATGTTTGAGTATGAAATAATGCAGAGCCATGGAGGCTACCAGCATTTTCTTCTTTGATGTCAATAGGGAGAAGATTACCCGTACGCAGATTTCGTGCAGGCGAGTCAAGTCAGTGCAGTCGATGGATGAAAGACTGCCTTGATTCTGTTTTCGTCGAACTTGCCCCTGCCATTAAAAAGCTTTGAGTCACTCCTGCAATTGAAGTTAGAAATAAATGATGATGAAAACTTCTGACCACTTCATATAATGCAGGCAAATCAATCTTACTTTTTAAAAAGCCAGCTTTAAACAAAATGCCAAACAAGCCATATCTGTGTCTCTCACTTGCTCAAATAGTTTTGATGTCTCAAACTTTTATTCAGTGCTGCCTGTCCATGGAATGGAGTCAAATTTACCTGACAGGCTTTTAGTAGCTAATGTGAAAGGATAGTTATATTTACTACTGCTTGTTGCTTTTTTGCCTTTCCAGCTTTTTGGTTTTTTACTTTCCCTGTATAAAATTCCTTGTCTTAGTTGTATGCAAACAATAAATCAATTTTGATAAAATTATATTTAAGCTAAAAAGCAAATTTATGTTGTGATCTTTTGATCTCAAGTTCTTTTGTAAGTCTTTATGCATAAATTGCTGTATTGTTCATACTTGTCTTTTCTGGACTATGTGCCAGGATTTATTTTCAAACAACAATAGCAACAAAAGGAGCATGAAATTCTAATTCATATCCCACAGGGTAAAACAGTGTACACATTGCAGCTATCCTGACCTCCTGTTTTAATCTTTAACATATGTTGTTCCTGGCTCAGTGATTCACAAAGGAGGGAAAAAAAGACAGGGATGTTGATCTAACCATGACAGTGGTCCAGCTTTACTTAATGCTGAACTGTGATGGGTTTGAAGATTAAGCATCATCTTTTCTAATTAACTAATTGCTCCACATTCTTCTTTCTGAATGGAAAAGTAGATTTTAATTCTGTGCTTTTTAAAACTAGATTTCCACGTCAGAGAGCTTTGTACCTTGTGACACGTGCTCTGCATAACCAGCCTGGCAGATTGTCTGTTATTGTTGAATAAAAAATAATAATGTAAAGTATTCTTCTGGAAAATGGAAGATGTTAGAGGATTTAAACATTTTATTTTCTCAACAACGTATTTTGCTTCCCACTTTGCATACTTGGTTAATTATCTCTGAGGGACATTAATCCAATCATTCAGTCTTTTACTTTTATTTCTTTTTTATGTGCTTTTTTTCTGTTAGCGTGTTGGTGCTGAACAATTTCAAATTACTGCTCAGAGGAGGAAATAGCAGTCGTTTTCTCGTAAAATATATACCTCCTACACTAGAGTTAAATTATGTGCTTGACAGTTTTGGAAGTGATCAGAACCCCATTTCCTTTTTTACTGTAGTTTACTGATTATTTTTTAAATAGAATTCTTAGCTTATTATGCAAATAAACAATAGCTTTTAACCCACAGATTGTTCTGTTCTGTGATGCTGAGGTTTGTTACCCATCAAATATTACTTATCCTTGAGACAGTTTCTCAGTTCTTTCAGAACTTTTTAGGGTTTTTCAGTGTGGCTTTATTTATTTTTCAACATTTGCAGTGTATTGTCATGTCTCAGGACGCTAAATGAAATAAACATTAGCACTGAAAGCTTAAAAGAAGCACAGTGAGGATGATGAAGTCTCTTTATACTTTGCTTTTACTTGGGTAAGCAGAATAGATAAGGTATGGTTATAATTAGGGAAAGCATGTTCCTAAAATATTTGTCCTTGTTTCACTTAGTTAAAAAAAAATCTAGACAAATACGCATGTGTATATATATGTCTATATTCGTGTTTTGTGCTTACATGTGTACATGGCACTATAAACATACGGATTTGCACATTTATTTTATGAATAAACACTTTAATCTTTGAAATTATCGTGATAGTCAGGCTAGCTGTTATTTTCTGATTTACCTTCTCGATAAATAAAATCATTAAAAGCTTCTGAAAATGACTTTCTGCCACGAGAATTTATCAGCAGGTTTTAATGTGACTTACTGCTTAATGTCATTCTATTATTACATTCTGATTTGGTAGTTATGGTTGTTTTGTTCCTCTGAGAAATTCGTACATAGTGCTCGATTAAAAAAAAAAAGCTACTGTTAGAATGTGCAGCTGGGAAAGGTTGCATGGTAGTAAAATATTCCACATACACATTTGTTTAATAAGCACAGCTCTGGTTCCCAGTAGCGGTTACGTTATTGAGCAAGGCATCTGCCAGTGTTTGATCCTGCAGTTGACGAGCGATTTGTCTTTTCATTCACTTGTAGCAAGATTCAGTGATGGATGTTGGATGCATGCTTCATTTTGCTGTGTTAGAAAGCCCATGCACAGATGTATCTGGAGAGGTAGAACAGAATTGGCATCCTTTTCCTCACGTACTCTCCGTTTAGTAAATGTTTGCCTAATTTTAAGCTTAAAATCCAGTTAAGTTAATTGGACCTCTTGAGTACTTGAAAGTAAGTCAATACCTAAGCTGTGGCTTAACAGTTGTAGGTACAAGGTGCGTAAGCAGGTGAAAAATTGGTTATTAGACTTCTAGATAAAGGTAGCATCGCTCTCAAAGATGAGCAGTACAGTGGCTTCAGCTGCCTTCTGAATAATTTGTATATATTCCACAGTTCTGAAGATTTGGCTGTTTTTATCAATACATTTATCAATAAAAGTAAGAAGCAACTCTGGGTACTAGGCTTGAAAAGTATATACTAGCTGCAGGGGGAACATGCCTCCTTTTTTTTAGCTGTAAGAATTTTATGCCAATTAAGTTACCAAATAACGTTTTCCTGCTTCCTTCCTTGAGTCCTTCTTTGGTCGTCTTGTAGATTATATTGTTTAGAGCATTAGCTGGGGGGGGAAATGAAATGTGAAAATCGCTTACTGTATGAGTATATTGCAATGAGAGTTTAATCACTAACTGTTACTAGTTTGAGTGAAATTATTATTGAGAAGTTATTATTGAGGCCTGACTTGACTGAGTTGATCTTGACCATGTAGTTGCATTTAATAGAAAATACATACTGTGTGTATGTATGCGTGACATTGATATGCTATAACATTTGCTACGAAAACACTGTAGTTATTTTGGCATAGTATAGACTTGAATGCTGAAAAGCAGTAACGACTTGGGAATTGTTTATTACAAGAAGCAGCATAGCTGACATGTCTTATTGCCTTTGTGTTCATTTCAAGAAAATCCTTGTTCTCAGCCCTGCGAAGGAGACATGCTTGTCTTGCTGCACATCAGGGTGCTTTTTATCTATAAATTGTGTTACTGTAACATGGTCCAATTCTATTACTTGTGCAAACCCCTGAATCTTGAAAATACACAGTTCACTGGAGCTTTGGTTGATGATACCCTACATTTTGCACATGGCATCATCTGTGAGGGTAATCTATTTCCATTTGGCTTGTGTGGCACTGCCAACATAAACATCTTATGTCATACGCTTATTAAAAACATTTGCATTTTTGTTTTTCTTAGTATAAACTTTGCATTCCTGACTGCTTATGGTTTGAATCTGTTGCTTGAGCAGTTTCAGCCAGTTGCAAGTTAGAGGTTAGCAAGGCTTTTTGAGAGGTATTTTTTTCATATATTGGTAAAATTCTTGCCGGAAAAGTAGGTATTTGAATACAATTGTTTCTTTTTGCCTCTTATGCTTTTTCTTACGCATAATTTCTCTTCTGAGCATCATAACATTATTTCCTAGTGCGATCAGTAGCAAAGGTATTTTGACTTATAGTTGTAAATCAGAAGACTCTGCGAACATCTGTTGAATCTAGAATAAGCCTCTGAGTGACCTTCTGTTTCCCTTGATATCTGTTTTCCTTTAGGACAATTTCATTTGTCTCTTTAGCTACGTGCTCTCTGTGCTTAATTTTTGAATTTTTCCTTTTGGCATGCTGCTTTGCTGCTTCGTAATTGCTTACGTTTTCGTAAGTCGCTGCTAAGGCTGTTTCCCTGAAAAGTGAAAAAAAATTGATTTTTATAGCTTATGCTTTTGATCCTTTGAGCTCTTGAATAGTATCACAGCAAAATAGCACTGAAGCATCAACTTGAATAATACGCTGTCCATCCTGCCAAATATAGATTTTTGTCTATCGGTAATTCCTGGTGTGAGAGCTGGCAGTGAGGATGCATGGCTCGGAGGCACCGAGTGAACCATTGATGAATTTGCTACACAGTTTAAGGAATTACCACTTCCCTCTGGCAGAGACTACAGATCTGTCAACAGAAGGGAATTTGGAGCTACTTTACCCGCTCCTCAGTGCAGTATCCAGCATCTTTCTTTAAAGATGCTTTTCTCAACAGTTTAATGAGACATCAGTTACAGCACCAAAGCATCTGAAACATGAGAGACTATTTTCTTTCATCAACTTTCTGGTAAAGTGTGATTTCTTAAACTGCCAGAGCAATCACCAGAGCTCATCTGTCAATGTCCCAAGTCGTATCTGCAGTTTGTCAGTTTTGCAGACTTCCGTGTTCAGCCAGTACAAATGACATCAACATGACTGTTCATACTGGGAGTTGCGGCATTACTCATTTGGCACTCAGGAGCATTTAAGAAGCAGTGATTAGAACCCGCGTAAGTATGTTCTGCCTTAAATGCAGAAGTTGAGAAGAGTTGATGCTGATCTAGAAATCACTCTCTATTATCTGTTTAAGTTCTGATCAAATCCTTGTGTTTAACTCTGGCTACCTGAAGCAAGCACCTAAAGGAGAAAGTGTTTGGAAGAGAAAGGGAAAGGAGATGTGTAAGGAGGGATAAAATTTAAATGGGGAAGAGGGGCAGTCTTCATGTGATCCAATAAATCAAATCTAAACAAGGCAAGGTGCCACTTTTCTGAAGATCAGAAAGCAGTGGGGTGGTAACAAATGTAGGAGATGTTGGCCACTAAGAGATAAATCATTCTGCCTCAGGTGATACTGCCTGTCCAAAGGATGTGGGCTTTTTCTTTGTACAGTTCCTGCTGCTATGGGGCTGTCACATTTAAAGTTCAATGTAACAGTAATTAATAACACTATAATCCAGTCCAAAAACCAGGCTGATAATCCTCTGCAAAACTTAATAACATAGGTCATCTGTAGACTGACGACTTTGTCAGCAGTATAGGCAACAGAGAGTGTATTTACGTGCTGTAACATACTTTATTGTATAATGTTGATGCTCCAAGGTATGTTAGTCAAGCTGCTGAGATGATCACTTCTCAAATGCAGTCTAGCAGGCAATTAATTGATACCACTTCAGTAGCTGCAGCAGTTGCTTGCACAGAAGGGTAACGTTAGGAGGATTTTTAGTATATTTTAACTCATAGTGTATAGTATAGCAGCTGGCGGTAATGAGAGCCAGAACTGTTTTTCAAGCCAGGGTCCTACAGTAGTTCTTGAACTAACTGTAGTTGGAAAGCCACTCCACAGAGAATTTCATCCTTTGATCAGGATGGTCCCCAGAAACAGTGATTTGCAAATGGATATTCACTATCTGCCTTTTGCTACATGGGTGGATTCTGGAGCGCTCGCTTTCCTCTTGTCAAGTATCTGTGGATACTGGCTGATGAAAGATGATCAGATTGTGCAAAGAGGGCTCATAGGACACTGAAGAAAAAAAAAAGCTAATTGAATATACCACTCTGCTTTTTAGAAGGCAAGATGCATCTGAATAGCTGACAATTGATAGCTAAAACTGATTAAACCTGCATTGACTTGGAACCATAATTAATATAAATCACTGCTCTTCAAAGGACATTTTAAAGGACTTTGTATAAAAAAGAAAATCTCAAACCCTGCAATCCTAATTGGTTTCATTTGCGTTTGAAGAGTTCATTTGGCTTGCTTTTCCAGTCCTCTGACAAGCTTTTCCTTTTAACAGCTGCCTATAAATTAGGGCAGTTGTTTTTACTGGTAGCAGTGATATAAGAGTTCCCACAGCTCCACAGTGAGAGTAGGTCCCTAATTAATCTTACGGAATTTTATTGTTGATTCGTGACAGTATGTTTTCTGTTACTCAGAGCTTTTATATGCTTTTATATACAGGAATCTCACAATCTAACTAAATTCCAATAAAGTATGGCTGCTGTAGGATTAGATGGCTTCTTTTATGGCCTAATTACTTATAGCCTAGGTGCTGGATGAGATACCAAGGTTCAGGTAACCACTATCAGGTTTTGTCATTTCAGTTCTCATATGAAAGCCCAGGAACTTAGAAAAACAGCTCTGGAAGGTAGCTCTGCGCATGAGCTAAATTAAAAGCCTGGCTCAAGATCCTGATGTGTAGGTTGAGAGGCTTTTTTTCCTTGTTGCAAAGAAAGCAGGGTCTCATCGTGGAGTGCCAATTGTCGTGCTTAACAATGGAGCTCTTCTTTCTTTTTTTTTTAAATATTGCAAGAGTTCCACTTTGTTAAATGCTTTTGTAATGAGCTCAGACTATGTCTTGCATCCATTGAAAATAGTATTTCCCAATTAGTTGAGTCCTTCTGTTTGGAGCTGAGGAAGGAAGTATGGATTTAATGATAACAATAGATTGTTTTTTGACCTGCAGATGGTGGAAGAAAGTGAGGAAAGGCTAACAGAAGAGCAGATTGAGTCACTTCTCCAGACGGTCACCAGTATTCTTCCAGGGGATCCAGAAGAACAGCAGAGAGACTCGGCAATGGCAACTGAAGACAAAGGTGACCAAGCGTAGGAGGCATCTAGACTAAAGCTGGCAACAATTTCAGCAGAGGAGAATCAGCTAGTATTTTTCTGTTTTTTACTTGATACCAGTTTAATCTTGTATTGGACATCATTGTAAAATATGTTACAATTTTTATTACTCAGAGGTGATGAGGGAACCAATTGTTTACAAGAAAGCATGGAAAAGGACACTATTGTTTTGGCATTTTGTCATAAATGGGTAGTATCTGAGTTTGTATTGTAGCAGTCTGAGAAATTATGGGTCACAGAATCTGAAGCTTTTGTATTTTTTCTATTACCCGTACAACAGCTGTACATTTGAATAGGCTTATATACAGCTGGCAATGTTTTAATTATCACAGCAGTACTATAATTATAATTGCTTTCATATGCTTTTGAATTGCCCAACTGGTTTTCAGAATACGGTCTACAATACAAAGCCAACTTTTGGAGCTGTTTGTGAAAAGGGCTGTTTTCAAGGATCAGAGCATAGAGTAATGTACAAGAACTGCTTGGTATCTGGCCAGACAATTTCAAGTAGGCTGTTGGCATCATGGAAGTGAGAGGATCTGTTGGTAGGGTAACTGTTCTCAAGGATGTCTGACAGTCCGTACTTGATAAAAGAGAGATCCAGATCATTGGCTAGATCAACATATTGCCACTGAAATTAGCTGAGTTGGACCAGTTTACAGCAGTTGAGGCTCTGGACTCAAATGTTAAGGCTCTTAATAGTACAAACAGAAGAACATTAAAGCATGAGGTGTATATTTTCCCTTTGAACGTTTGTTCCAGTATTTGTATATAGACGAGTCACAGTGCCGTGAACATGCTGTCGACTGTGGAGTAGATGAATGAGTCAACACTAAAGTGAAGTCCTAATCTGGTTTAGAAGAATGAGCATCAGTCCTGGTTGAAGCAGAATTTTCTGTGTACTGAGCTTTTGTCTGATTAAAGATTTCAGGATCAAGTATTTAATGTTGAAAGCATTGATGATTATAATAAATCTTTTGTATATATACATATATATGATATATATGCATAAAGTCATGAGTGTGGCACTGGTTTTATACTATGACTGCAGACGATTCTTTTATAATTATTATAATGTACTGGAAATAGAAATAAAGTTTGGAGTACATCCTGGGAATTTTGTGGCTTATAGACAAGATGCCAGATACTCTGATTCAAGGTCTCTTGTTTTTTGTTTTTTTTTTTCCCCCCATTTCTGTAATGGTTTTATTTTGTGTTTTTATACAAAGAATTTACGCTTTATGAGCTTTAGTTGTGCTTTATATGAAAGGGAGTGATAACTTCCAGAGTCTGGGGGATTTATGATATGCATTTCTGTGGTATTTTAAGCTGCTTTAATGGTTGGAGAGGAAAGGAAATTACCAAAAAAAATGTTTGTTACCTCTTAAACATAATTTATCTTACATTAAATGCATTCCAAGGCTGAAGAGTAAAGGTATGTTTTGACTGGGTAAGTACAGTATTAGAGCGGAAAAGTCTTTGGTAGTTTTTGTGATACATCAATACGTATTTTCTCTCTAAATGGGCAACAAAACAAAAGAGGTGAGTAGATCCTATCGTGGAATGATGTGAAATTAATTTTAAAATTAGCATTTTTACTCTTAGCAGTCACTGGTGGTGTTTGACATCCTGTGGCCTTGGGCTGCAAGTGTTTACATTTTTCTGTCATGTCTTTTTCTAAAATTAAGTTATTGAAGCATGTTCTAAACTTACGAAAAGCAGATGGAAGCAGATTGCAAGTATCTTTAGCCAGCAAGAATATTTTAACAGATCTCTGAAGCTGGATGTTCCATCTTGGGAATTGCTGATTTGTTATCGTAATGGATTTTTGCCAGCATCCATGTTGTCTTCTGTTGCATGCATATTGTACAAGATACAAGAACCCATTCACTTGCTATTGTATTTAACCCTTTTATCAAAATCAATTCCAGATGGATACATATATTAAACTTGTGCAAATGCATGAATAGCTTGTTCAGTCTCAATTAAGGTACGTAAACTATAATTACCCTGAAAATGCAATACTGAGTAACATTTGAAGGGATCTGGGATTTCAACATCTGCATTACATCAAGGAGTCTTTTTTAAATCTACTGTCTGTGCTCTCTGCCCGTGTAAGTGCAGGTGAGGAATTACTCTGGCTCTGAGAGCAGGTTTCGCGTTGTGTTGTTTACTCTCAGGTGTGTTCTTTGGAAACCTGAGACTCAGAAATGATTTATGGAAAGCAAATGTCATCTTGCTTATGTGATACTGTTTTTCCGGTGTCCTATATATTACACGAAAGATCTGCCTGTCTCCCAAGGCTGCATTTAGTTTTCTTAACTAATCAGTTACCTAACACAATAAATGTACTCTGCTAGTTCTTTTGAAGGAGACAAGACGGCATGAAGAGTGTGGGCCTCTGATGCGTTCATGTACAAGAAAAAGTACATATGTATTGAGCACTTAAAAGCTTGGTCCATAATTTTGAGAAGAAAAGGGCAGAGTACTCGACACTTTCGGAATGTTTAAGAAGTGCATATTGTTTTTGGCTTTCTCATTTCTTGTGTGTTCCTCACTTTTACTCTGCATCACGCGTTTGGATTCTGGTAGATTGACAGCTCTGCTTATGGCAGCTCTTGTGCTCTCGTCACTGCTCTGGGAGAAAGGGGGAACGAGCTGTCAGAATTCCACTGCTGTTTTGATAGTTTAAAATACCTGGGGTTTCTCTTTTCATAAATTCAAGCCCAAGAAGGCCAGCTTTCCTTAGGATTGTTTGGCAGTCCTTGCTGGAGAAGTTTTGTTAGCAAGAAGCTTTGTTTTATGGGAGGAGAAGGAGCTGCCACTCCTACCTGGCTGTGCTCAGGTGCTGGGAAAGGGAAATGGATATGCTGGAAGCAGAGATGTCCGCAGGGAATTTTGTAGAAGATACAGAAAATCCCTACCGATGAGCTGAGTGGCTTTGGTGGTGGTCACGCCGTGGCAGGGCTGTGTGTAAGGCTGTTGTCAAATTCCGCATTTCGGTGGGCAAGCTCTTTTTCTTACAGGGAGCAGAATGCATTTTGTTTGTCTGTATTTGCGTGGTGTATTTACTAGATAAAGGTGTGTAATCTTGGTTAGAAAAAGCAAACCAAAACCTCCAAAGTTTGGAGTTTTGGTTTTCTTCTGAAGCATGTCTTTAAACAACACTGAAGTAGTACATGGAAATGGCATTCAAGCCTAATGGGTCAGTGTGCTGGAAGGGTTAAATAACATCTACGGAGTGTCTTGAAGTTTAAAAGTGTTTATACAGATGTTTTTAAAAAGGTCCTGTCATTAACAGTTCTGTACATAACTTTTTACTTACTAAAATCTCTACTGGTAATAGACAAGCTATTGCTTTTGAAGTCAACCGAACTGGGCTGATTTACACCAGTTGAGAATCGTGTCCTAAAATAATTGATCAGTCACGTCACAATACGGCATCGGGGGGGATGTCTGCAGCTGCTGTAGTCGTAGCAGACCCCTGACCCATGAAGAATAACCAAACTGGACATATTTTTGAAACTGTTCTACCTTAGAAGAAATAAAGTCGAGAAATTCGACTGGAACGCAGCTGAGTTGTTGCGGACTGAAGTCAGCCTGTGCCCTGGAGCAAATTCCTGAAAAAAAAAGCTCAGAGGGAGCGGGGTGAGCTGCAGGCTGCCTAATTCGTACTTTGCTCTTCATCCCGTTGGAAATAACGTGTTTCTCCCAACTGGTAGTTGAAGGGGGAAGACCTGTTTGACCTGCTTGAGCCGGGGAGGTTGGACTAGGTGATCTCCAGAGCTCCTGTCCAACCTCAATGCTTCTGTCAGTCTGCTTTCCCTTCCTCCCGCTTCGGACTCGGGATGTTTTCGTTTGCTCAGCACAGAGGCAAAGGCTGCGATCGTTAAGAGCTGAGACGCAGTGGATTGGGGGTTAGTCCCTTGTCCCCCTTTCCATCCGTGCCTGGTGCAGCGTGGCCCCTTTGCAGGTGGGTGCTTGGGGCTCTGGCACAGCGCGAATACTTTATTTCTGGGATGTTGACAGAGAAGGGGACGGTCTTGCAAGGATCGCAGCAGGATTTTGTGTCGTGCCTGTGGTTTCATCAGTTGCTTGAGCCTGAAATCGGAGTTTGTGAAGTTGCTCTGCATTAGCACATTGCAGCTACGACAGTGAGTTGAGTCTGTTCCAAAAGAGGCTCCTCTGCTATGAAGGGTGTGTCCCAGGATGCTGCTGGGATAAGATGGTGTTTCAGTGTGATCTTAATCACAATTTTCTCTTGAGTTTTGCTTAGTGTTACTCCACAGGCCAAATTAATCCATAGTGCCTCTCCGCTGCCTTACATTTGGCCCAAAATACAGAACCATTCACTCATTCATGCTGGCTGTGCTCGGCCCCTCCGAGTCAAGCCACGGGTGAATTAACCCAACCCAAACTGGGATTATTCTGGATCCCGATTTTGAAATGCACAAATTTTTCTGTATTGCATTTTCTATGACTGAATTTTTTATTGCCTCTGCCTCCCTGGGGTGGCAGCTCTTTGCCATGGCAACGTGAACAGCCATTCTGTATCCGTATCTGCTTCCTAGGCATGAAACCCACTTCCCTGTGTTTGGGAACGGGCTTCGAAAGCACCGGTCTTGACTGGGAGCTACTGTTGTTTGAGTGACTTCTGAAATGCTCTGGGCTTTGTTAGGAGGAAGGGGGGCTGGGGGAGCCTGTGTACCCCTCGGCCTGCCTGAGACAGGGCTTTTCCCACTTTCTTTCTTCATTTTCCATCCGCTACCCATAACCAGCCTTTTCCAGCCTGTTCCTGGTACCAGCTCCCAGAGCGAAGGGGCTGCCAGGCAGTTTCAAAAGACGTACTGCAGAAGGAGCATGAAGATGACCTTTCGTGCCTGAAAACCTGTCTGTTTTTGCAATTGTACCAGTTGGTTTAAATAACAGATAGTGTCTCGCCCCGGGAGCTTTGCCTCGCTGATAAGAACATCTGTGGTT